CGTACCTATGGTGTGTTTTTCTCCCAGTCACTCGACCATGTCCGCGTATCCCTACATCCACAATTCCCTCCACCATTCCGCTGCCGTTTAGAAATTTACATTTTTATGAAATTCCCGTTTTTGTTTTCCCCATTTTCATGAGTTTTCACAAATTTACACATTTGTTGGAATTTTTTATTGGCTGTCATCATTAGTTTGGATACGGCCAGGAGCCGGGGACTCATCGCGGCGGACAAGTGTGGGCGGCGTGTAATTTATAAAGTGTTTATTGGGGGAAGTTTCAGGCAGAGATCTGCGATAAGGATGAGAAGAGTAATTGGCTTTGCCATCGGGTTGATAGAGGAGTCGGCCATATGTGTAGAGTGACGGTGGAGTACCAAGGGAGCGAGGAATGATGGTGTCTTTCTCTTTCCGTCCAGAGTCTCTGGGGGTCACTGAAGCGCGGTTCTAAGATGATCTCGAGGATTTTGGGCTTGCTTAGCTGGTCCGTCGGAATTTCTAGAGCATTTCTAGCAGCTAAGGAATCTACTTAGGAGCGGAATAGTTATCCATCTTCCTAAGCGGCTATTGGAGGATTCCCAAGTTATACATATTGGATGCAACTATTTAGTTTTTATTGAAAATGCTTATGATTACGGAAAGAATTAACTTCTTTCTGAACCCATAATTATCCGAGTTGACATTTCTATAAATTGTACTCTATTGAATGAATGCTTCATAAAAGATATTAAGCAGAATAGTTTCTTTTTTTATGAACTGCACTATCTGCAGCCCAAATCTTAGGACTTATAGCCGTAGGAGGACTTATCTCATTCCCATCTAATCATATCATGCCGCCTGCTCATAAATCCCGCCGTTGCCCGGATCCCAGGCAAAACGATAATGACACACGGACAAAAGTGCCTGTCAGCCAAAAAATAACCAAAACGAAAGTGTCAACCGGCGGGCAAGGCTCGGCACGACCTCAGCCAGTTCAAAGGAGGAGGAACACTGGTCACAGGAGCAGGGGGAGCTGGTGCAGGGTACCGGTGAAAAGTCATAAACATTACGTTGATTTTATTTCGGCAACTACTACTATATTTTTTATGCTCGCTGGTTGCGAGCTGAGTCAAAGGATTGTCTGTCCTTTCAACTGGACGACGACACGCTCGAGTGCCCGTTACGGAAAGTGTCATAAAAATCCGAGGCAATTCTGGGATGGTTTTTGCTGTTTTGTACATACACGTACTTAGTGCACTGGGAAAAATGCAATTACCGAAGGAAGAAAATTGATTGATGAAGAGAAACTGAACCAAAGATGTCTTCAATTGAGTTGTAATAATTTGGTGATAAAGTTCTTCACTTTCAACTCCAAGCATACTGTAAATTGCCTGGAAGGCTAACTCTTTTCTCTGTGTGCATAGTTTTGGGGAGTGAGGAGGTTCCAAATAGGAGTTGGACATTTTTATGACATTTCTCTGACTACTGTTTATTCGCTTTCTCCTCCACTCTCACCGCTCATCGGTTACCTCTCGCCCGCCCCTCGTTATTTTCTCGAGCACTTTTCCGACATTTTAAACATTTTCCTTTGCCGCTGGCACTTTGCCTGTGTCAGAATTTTCCCTGATCCATGTATCCATGTCGTTTGTGTAATTTTTATGATTGTCAAGGATTAGATATAAATGTTTTACGATGTTGGCCGTGCTACTGCCGCCGCCGCCGCACCGAGAAATTGTGTTTTAATATGATTTTATGGCTCTGCGGTAATTCGGAACATATTCTCCACTTGATTGGCTCCGTAGTTTCGTGCCCGAAATACCAAATTGATCCGAGGAGATCCTTCGCGGACCCTTTTCTCCAAATGGGGATTAGGATTTGGGCTCCTCTCCTGAAGTTTTTCCGGGAAAACAACAGGCTCGGTCCAGTTGTATGATGCTCTTAACGCCCTCGAGAGCCGCTGTCAGTCAGCTACCAAATTTCGAGTTTTCCGCCGCGTGAAAACGCAGCCACAAAAGAGTTGATGTCGATCCATCATAATTTCGGGGGCCGCGTGGATTTACAAACGTTCAAATTATCGGGCCATCGTTTTGGATGGAAAATGGGGAAAATATGAAAATGACAAGGAACTACTTGATGATTCGTTCTGGGAACCGCAGCGATCGAGTGGCCAGAAATTAATTACATTTAGAGAGATAGAGATAGAGGGAGAGAGAGAGAAAGAGAAGAGTGCCAAAAACTAGAAAAATGGGTCTCGAAAACGAACAGACTACTCCCTAAACGCCAACTCATCATCATTAAAGTCCATTTTTTCCGTCTGCTGTTGTCTTGTTTTGTTGCTACTCAACAATTTTCCATCCATCGAATTGGACAAAGGGAAATTTGCCACGTTTTTCATTGTTTTCACAGCCAGAAAACTAAAATAAAAAACCAGGGAAACAAAAGTGAAACTGCGGTTTTTTTTCGCCTGAACTCGGGCATTGGGAATCGGCCGGGGAAATAGGTGAAATTGCATCACGCTGTGCTGCTCGGTTTCTGGGGAATTGTTTGCAGGCTGGAAAATTGTTGATTTTGACACCTTTCGGGCTGCTGCTGCATTGTGCGCTCTCTATTTCCATCTAATAAATGCCTTTGGCCCTTTGTCTTAGTCTGTCTTGCGTTTTTTATAGTTTCCTTCTGCCTGACGAACCTCAACGGGGTTCCACTTGACCAGAGCTGATCCCGCTGTCTCGGGATGTCTTTATTCGCTCATTAGCAGTCCGATTGTGCCGGCTGCTAGGAGCAAGTCCTTCGCATGTCCTCCTGCAGCGAGGGTGGGCGTGTGAAATTACCAAAAATAAAAGGTAAATTGCGTTTTTTTAACCAATTTAATTGTGATAAGTGCAGGGGTTCGAATGGGATCCTGGAAGGCACATTTATAGGGAATCTCTCAATTATAAATTCAAGGTGTTGTGACTTCAAAATAGCTGGAAATAAATGGTTTAGTTCATGGTAAAAATAAAACTATCTGATTTAGAGGAGATTTCCCAATAAAACATGTTGAATATGGAGTGAGTAACATATACTGACTTATTTATTATTACCTTCCAGTATGTGCACTTATTTGACTTTCAAATAATCTTTATGACTATTTAAACAAGAGAGGAAATTCATTTTAGGGGCCAAAGTTTATATACCTTTGCAGGTTCCAATTCAAACAGGGAGCAGCGACAAAATCGATCATAACTCAACCAAAAATGAATTAATTTCGCACCGGAAAGCTGTCCTATGTTAGTTTTTGTTAGAATAATAAAACTGCATTCTCAATTTACAATTTTAGAAAATCCAAATTTTTGGCAATTTTTGACAATTTTAACGATGTAACCCCTTATAAAATTTTCAAAATTTTGAAAAATTTAAATTTTGGTCGGACATGCCCAGATCGATTTAGTTTTTGATGCTGATCGAGAATATATATGATTTATTGGGTCGCAAATGAATTCTGACAGTGCTACAAGCTTCTCACTACAATTGAAATACTCTTTAAGGGCACACTTAAAAAAGACTCACACACGTTTTGCTCATTAAACCGAAAAGCAAAACACACTGACGAGTCAGCCAATAAATAAATAGAAAAAATAAAAAAATAAAAGGCAAATCGATGAACTTTCCACAGCATTTCACCTTGTAATCAAAATCCATTAGTCAACATAATTACGCTTTAATGGACTCGAAAGTTGTTTATGCCGCGGCGCGGAGCGTCGTTTCGCATCCCGTCGAAAATTCGTTGTGTAAATATGCGTGGCTTAATTAGCGACCATAAAAAACTGATGGATTGTAATCTAACCAACGAATTCCAACTTTGTGGTTGTTGCTGCGATTTCTAGGCTATAAATCACCAAAATCCGGCGACGCGCTGATAACAGAGAGTGTAAAAATAACACTTTGTGAAAATAGTATGTGTTCACTTGATAGGGAAGTGTGTACATACATATGTACGCACGATCGTGTCACGTATCGGCCGTTGATGGACCTGCTCTGATTTCGATTCGGAATTTCGATCCGCACACCACATAAATTATGCAAACTTTGTCGTGTGCCAAAAACGCAGTAGTTGTGTCCAAAAATTAACATTTAAATTGTAGCAAAAATCGTAGCCACTCGATACCCCTGCCATAAAGCTGTCCCGATCGGGGCTCCCAAATATGATTTATTGGAACCGGAGTCTTGAACTGCATTTGTGGTGTTGAATCGATAATACGAAGTTAGGTTTCTGTGAGAACTATGAGGGAAATTTAAAATTTTGTTTCAAAATGATGAAAAAAAATTAAAAAAGGATAGAAATTTTAGACACTTAATAGGGGTCAAATTGTTTAAACCACAAAAACTAAACTAATTGTTTTATGAAACAAAACCTTCGAGAAGGGCTTGAAAATCCCCGAAAGTTGTCGAAACTACAAGTACACACAAAAATCTAGCAACAAATCCCATAAGATATTTGAAAAAGACATATTCCGGCAGCAAACAGTCCTCCTCAAAAAACTCCTTTCTCCTGTAGACAGAGACATTGGGCCAGGTGTGGCATTCGATTTTCATTTAATGCTCGTTCCGGGAACAAAAACCCGACCGCAAAAACAAAAACTATGAATGGCAGTTTAAGCCAAATTACACAAAGGCCAAGAGCGAGCAACAACAACCCCGAACGGATCGAACGGAACGGAAGCCATATGTAGAAGTCGAAGCGAGAGAGAGCGAGCGGGCCCGGCCGGAGGACCCGCCCCGTCCGGGCAATGCGGCCATTTCGTTCGCTCTCATATCCAGCGGCAGATAAAGTCCACACCGGAGGTGAGAGGTGGACAACCATAGGGGTTGCGTACTGCCAAGCAGCTGCCGTCTCATTCTGCCTGCCAAAACTGGTTCTGAGTGGCAGCAGCGGTGCGGGCATTCGTTCGGCGCACACTTGGTGGTGCTGCGGCGCTCTCGGAGTTCATTCAGCCAGCGAACGTCGTCGAGAGCACACGTCTCCGTCTCCGCATTCAGTTTTCCGCCAGCGATTACGTATCCGTCTACGTCACGTCCCGTTCTCCGCTACCACGTCGTCGAAAGCCAACTCAGTGTCAGTGTTAACCGGTAGAATAGCGCACCGATGCGGCGCTCAGTGTAAATGCTTTGAATATAGTCAAAGTCGTCAAATAGTAACAACCTACCGACTCCCCCGAGGATTATAACTCCCGAGCCGCGTTTGACCCCAGAAAGCCGCCAACATAGCCGAGCTAACCGCCGCCGTATTTATGACTAAGATGATTCCGCCGGTGCCCACAGCCGCTGCCGCCGTCATGATGCCCACGCCCAAGCAGAAGATCGGCTTCAGCATCGAGTCCATTGTGGGCGATGCCGGCAGTGCCAATGCCGCCGGACACTCTCCGCCGCCGGAGAATGGCCGCAGGAGCCAGAGTCCGCCGTCGGGCGAGAGGAACGGTCCCGGATCGCCTCCTCAGACACCGCCCTCGAACCTCACATTGCTGCCCGGCTCCCCGCCGCTTCACCTGATGGCACCACCTGCCCACGCAATGCCCTATCCCCACGGCCAGGCGCACCCACATCCTGCCCATCCGCATCCGCACCTATCGCCCGCCCAGCAGCACGTGCTCCACCAGCACCTCCTCCTGCAGCAGCACCAGCAGCAACAGCAACAGCAGCAGCATCATCTGCAGAACCAGCAGCAGGGCCCGCCCAAGAGCCACCAGGACATCCAGGAACTGTTGCAGCGCCTGCACCATCACAATGCGGCTCTCCAGACACGACTTTCCCCAGAGGCAGAGCATCCTGTGTCCCTGAAAAGGGAGCGCTCGCCGGCCCCACCCGCCCTGGAGCAGGCCGAGAATCCCGCCCAGCGCATCCAGCCGCCCCACACACCGCCCAAATCCGTATCCCCGCAGTCCTCGCAGCCCTCAACGTCACCCACCTTGCTGGTCAGCAGTCCGCACGCCACTCCTCCCCAGCAACCACAGCAGCAGCAGCCTCCGAGCTACCCCAAGCCGGCTCTGATGCACCCCGGAGCAGGAGGACCCATGATGATGCCGGGAATGCCGCCCCAGGGACTCGTCAGACCCTTTCCCGTAGGCCCAGGAGGACCACCGATGGGTGGACCGCCGCAGGGACAGCCCGGAATGCCGGACATCAAAGCCCTGCCCCCGTACATCAATGCTCCACCGGAGCTGCCGCCACAGCACAATCCGCATCTCATTGCCGCCGCCCAGTTCCAGATGGCCGCCGCCCTGCAGGCTGGTCATGTTCTGGGTCCTGCGGCCGCGGCTGCTGCTGCCGCTGGACTGCCACCGCACGCCGCCCAGTTCATGCCCAATCCCGGCATGGCCCGGGACAGCTATCAGCTGTATCCATGGCTTCTCAGCCGCCACGGAAGGATCTTCCCACACCGGTTCCCAGGAAGTAAGTATCTCTAGAACCAGAGCCACAAAAAGCAGTTAAAATCAGCTCGTAGAATTGCACGTAGAATGAAACACCAAGAACGCATGACCGATGACTAACCAGACCTCCTTCTTCTTTGCTTTCTTTCAAGGCTTCCTGGTGCCGCCGTTTCGCAAGCCGAAGCGCATCCGCACCGCCTTCTCCCCGTCACAGCTCCTGAAGCTGGAGCACGCCTTCGAGAGCAACCAGTACGTGGTCGGGGCAGAGAGGAAGGCCCTCGCCCAGTCCCTGAATCTGTCCGAGACGCAGGTGAAGGTGTGGTTTCAGAACCGACGCACCAAGCACAAGCGGATGCAGCAGGAGGACGAGAAGGGTGGCGAGGGCGGCTCCCAACGCAACATGCATGGCAGCGGCGACGAGGACGACGACGAGCTCATCGACATGGAGATGGACGACTGCCCCAGCGACGAGGAGCACGAGCTGGACGCCAGCCACTGAGGCGGCGGGCTCAGTGTTCGGTTCGCAGCCAGTTCCTTACCCAGGCGATGGGGCCCAGTTCCAGTTCCAGTTCCGAGAGCTCCGGCGCCCTGCCGAGCTCCCGGAGAGTAGCATAGTTTGTTTTGTTGTGATATATTCTTAGAGCTACCTGTACATAGCAGGCATCCGACGCGACGACGGGAAAGTATTAGAGATCCTCCCCTGTCCCTCTCAAGATCCGTGCCAAATCCCTGCGAAGACCAGAGGTTGAGTAGAGCTCCTCCTCCAGCCCCGTTCCGAAGCTTTTCTTCCTTCCAAAAAAAATCTAAACAGAAAACAAAAATATCCTTAGGCTAGACACCAACTATAAGTGTACAAATCTAAAGGTTTAAGCGTGTAAATATTCATGAAAAGCATTAACTTTTAATTAGTGAATTTCCACAGAACAAACAATCTATCGTAGTAATAATAATTCCTGTACATTGTATGACGAGATTTAGCATTTATTTATGTTTAGACTTAAGCACGAACTTCCCTCGAGTCGCTCCACTGCAGAGCTGGATATAATTTAAACCTGTTTAATATAAATAGCCCTCTAGCTGCTAGTACTACTGTCTAAGCAAATAAGTTTGTAAGAGTAATTCACAAAAATATTATTATATGAAATATAAAATATTCAATATGGAAACAAATCGAAAAATAATGTTTGTTTGAATTTGGGGAGGGTTTGGGGCTTACATTGCTACGATTTTTACTCAGGCAAATTAGAACACCAGATCAGAACATTGTGCATTTTTAAGGAAATATAAAAATTAAATATAATATAATAATAATAAAACAAACAACTCAAGATTTAGTTATTTTAGTCAGAAGCTGGAAAGTCAATGAAGGAGTCATTTCCGACCCTATAAATCATATATATTCTTGATCAACATCAACACGAGAATCTTTTTAGACATGTTTGACGACAATTTAATTTTTTCAAAATTTTCACAATTTTATAAGGGGTTACATCGTTAAAATTGTCAAAAAATGGGCAAAAATTTGAACTTTCTTAAACTACAAATTGAGTATGCAGATTTATTAACCCAACAAAAACTAAGAAAGCAATGCTTTCCGAATTAAGATTAATGTTTTTTTTAGCTTAGTTTTGAGATTTTTAATGTTTGATTTATCGAAAAAAAACGCAATGTAAAAATATTAATATCTCATTCATCGAGAATATTAACGATCTTATAATTCAATTGCTAACTGCAAGGGTATATAAACTTCAGCTGCGCGAAGCTAGTTTCCTTCCTTGTTTTCATTTATCTTAAATTGAAACATCCTTGAACATAAATTACACCTTTACAGGCTTTTATTGCGCTGCCTCCTCCTCCTGGCCCGTTTTTAATTGAGTTCGTCCCACTGTGTGACAGAGTTAAAAATTATGCGCCGTCAATTAATTAGCGTGTGACATTTAACATTGTTGTTGCTGTTTGCTGTCCACTCGGATCGGTGACAGGTGAAGGAGCGAGGGAGAGGAGACGCGGCAGGAACAGAGACAGAGATAGATGAAGGAGGCGACTATAAAATGCATTTAGCGATCGTTATTTCTATATAGATTTCATAAGCATTTTAATTGCACAATTTAAAATGCAAATCGTGCTTTATTGTACAATTTAATTGAGCGCAGCTCTCGTGAGAGATCAAAGTGGCGGGGAGTCGGGGCGGAACTGGGGGTCTTTACAAGGAACCAAAACAGAAACTGGTTAGCGAGAAATGCCGCTCTGAGGTGTGCTAATGATTTAAAAGCCGAATTTATGATTATCGGGACACAAATTTATGCGACAATTGCGAACTGTCCGCTATCGCTCTGCCGGATCGGCTATCGAGTGGAGCCCAATGAATATGCAATATGCAGTGGCAGCGACAGCGGCAACTGGCTAATTGCAATGGGAAATCTAATGGAAACTGCGGCCGATCGATCGTCTGATACGGCTAATTAACGGACATAACGAGGCTAATTACTAGCTGTTAACAGCACTAAGTCGTGGCACTCTGTCAAAGGTTTGTCCGTAAAAATTAGCACAAAAGGGGTTGCTCTCTTACACACGAAAACACAATCTAGTTCAGTTCATTCAGTTTACAAAACAAAAGTTTGATTTTATTGAATCTGGAGGGTATGTACATGTTTTATAAATAAACAACAAATACCTCAGACGACTGATATTTTGCACTTTTATATGATTTGAAATGAGTGCTAATATTTCGCACTGTGCAGAGGCAATCATAGAACTTTGCAATTGCTAAAGGCATAAATCAGGGGAACTGCTGATTACATGTTCCACCCGAGAGATCGATATCGGAATCCAAGCTATATTTGTAAGTATATATCCAGGCTAATGGCTCGCTTGTTTGCTTAGCAGCACACGCACCTTGATGGAAGATACTTGGCCATAATTAATAGTGGGGCTGCGGCACGCCCACTTGCCCTGACGGCCGAGATTCCGATTTGAAATCGGAATTGGAATTGGAATTGGGCTTATCTGCAGGCCGCTTTTCAATATCATCGCTCCCCACAACGCTCTGCCCTGATCTGCTCTGTTTCTGTAGAAAAAAAAAGGAACAGAAACCAAAAATCAAAACGAAACGAAACGAAACGAAATCCCTTGCTGACAATTCTCGGAAATTAAAACACAATTTGGTAAGTTGCGCTGCTGCTGATGATGTTATACACATATCTGTAGTATACACATGTTTGTACAACTTGTTTTGCCTCGTGGCTGGCATGGATCTGTGTATACCCTTCCAGGGTATCATGATTTTAGAGTCATCTCTGAACCTATTTTTCTTGACCAGCACCAATAGCCCGGCTAGTTGACCAGTTTTCCGTACGTTTTAAATTTAGAATATCACAACACAATTCTTTAATTTTAAATTTAACATGCTGGCTTGAAATATCCTATTAAAACTATTTCAGAATTGCTTTCCGAATTTAAAATAATGAATTTTAAAGCAATAGTTATGATAGATTTTGGTCTGCTGATTTAATGACAGCCAATAAGGGTATTCAAAGGTTGACTTCTCAAACGTAGCCTCCTTTCTTGTTTTATTCCGTTTTGATTTTGTTTTTGATTTTGAGTTCGACTCCGCCGAATGCCTCAAAAGGTTTGTTATGCGGCGCGCCCCAAAAAAAGAGATATAGAAATAATAATAATAACAACGCGCCGCCGCATTCACTTTATGGCCAGCACCACGCACAGTCTCATTGTTATTTATCCCATAAAGTTTATTAAGTAATCCAATTTGGTTAAATTAGCTGTGTCCCGTCTTGGGGTTTTGGCGGGCCTTAATTGAGTTTGCTTTTCACCTCGACACTCGCTCATTATATGGGGTAACTCCGAGTACCTGCTGAATTTCTCCGATTGCTGATCGATCGCCGGCATAATGCAAATTGTCAAGTTGAAGCCAAAGGAGATCGAGGGTCTCGAGATTCCTTAATGACCGCCTCGACGTCCTCGGCACACAGGGACGTGGCATATCTCTGCGTTCTGTTTATGCGTCTTGTTTCCGAGAAGATTAATACGGCGAAATTAAGGAAAATAAATAAATGTCAACGCTGTACAAGATCATTATCGCATTTAACAATAATTACCCTGATATGGGATATGCTAACTAATCTGTTAAGCCCCAACCATAGCCAGGATCGTGGCCGATACACTCGGCCGGCCAGAGTCAGGGCCGGCAGAGACTTGGGCCGAAACAGAGACTGGTTTTTGGACCCAGCGAATGTTTAGTGCTTTCCGTTGTCGCCCCAAAACATCATCGAAGGTGTCGCAGGCCCGCTTGTTGTGTTAAATTAAGTAATTAATTTTAAAGTCCATGTTCTGTCCATTTGTCTAACGAGAGACGAAAGACTTAGGCGACGAACTCGGCGACGCCACGCTCGTTGACTTCACTTCCGTCGCGGAGCGTTTCTCCAGATCGAGATCGAGAGATCTCCAATTGCTTGTAATTTACTGCGGATTGTTCTCGATTTGGGCACTTCCTGCGGCTTAAATAGATTGGCATCGTTTTCCAGGCCCTCGGAACATTTGTTTGTCATAATAATAATAACAATAATAATAATTCGTAAGCGTAAGCGTTTTAATTGAATGATCCGGCGGCGGTGGCGGTGGGCGTCTCCAAATTTTTAACTCCAAAATAAACTCGAAATGCGCCGTGTCATTGCCAACTGCTTGACTCGAACAGAATAAACATTCGAGTCGATTTTAGGCCCTCAAGTGCTTAATTAGGAGCGCCGCAACAACGTCTCTGGTCGTTCGGGGCTTTATTTATTTAACAATTTTCTGCATCCATAGCCCAATATTTTGATGTTTTCTAATTGCCTCAATTATGCCTATGGCCCTTGGCTTGCTGTGTTTGGCCTGGCCAGTTGGCTGAACGGTTGGTCTGGCGATCCGTGGCGCCAGATACCGTCGCTTTCATATGCAAAGTGCCTCCTCAGTCCGATCAAATGTCGAATGCTTTAATTTGGTATATCAAAGAGAGACATTATGCTGCTGCTGAGTCTGCTGTGTCTCCCCTCCCCCAGCTCGTAAAAGCGTCAAATTTCTCAATTTCCAATTCTCGACTACCCATTACCAATTCCCGATTTCGTGGCCAGCTCCATGGGGCGTCCTAATTGTTGATATGCATCTCGGTTTCCCAGTCGCTCAGTCGCTCCATCCAGCGAGCCTCTTAATATTATTTGGTGAGTTTTATGTTTTATTTCGAATTAGTCACATAAATAAGCACTCTTTATGACAACCTGATGTTTGTTGTTACTGTTTTAATGCTCGCTGAGCGCCCACGCTGCGTATGATTATTCGACATTTCATTGGCTGGGCACAGTGATGCAAGATTAAGAGAAAAAGGTATATAGTATAGTTTTCATTTCCATCAAAAGTAAGTACCCAAAGTAATCTCAGCATTCCAAAAAAACTGGCTAGCTAAAAATGCTCGATAATCTTCAGGAGTATCTTTTGTGCCACTGTGCAGCGATCCAGTCTCGAAACTAATGCCATTCCAAACTGCCCGCAGTGCGATGCATTATTCAAGCAGCGGAGAAATTCCCGCCTTGGACATTTAGCTGGTTAAACAATCAATTAGTGACGACCGCAACTGAATCGACGGTGCCGTTATTGAATTGTACCAGAGGGCACCTACATTATATAGTATTCCCTGCCCCTCCCCAAAATATATACATACATATGTGCACCTAAGCCCGCCCCTGGCTCGGACAGGGCAACAAATGCTCGGATTGCGTGCGAGCTTCGCCTCGGGTTTGGCCAAGGTAATTATGGGTTTGCCATTTGTAGAATGTAGAACTATGTGGCTCTCTCCGTGGTTTTGTCGGGCAGTGTAGTGTCTCCGGAGTGCTGGTCGGTGGTCCGGGCCAATGAGGCGTCATCTAATATATTGCAATTACAAGCGGCAATTAGTCAATTTGCCCGACTCCAACACGAAACGCTTTTCGCTTTTCGCTCTCCGTATAATTAAAAGCCAATTAGAATATTTATTATGAAAATTGGCCAACAAATGTGCATAATTGAAGCGATGTGGATTCGTTT